ACCGACTGCAGCTCAGATGAAGTGAAAGATGAATTTTACAGAAAGCTGTCCGAACTTCTTCATAAAGCTAAACGCTCAGACATAGTACTCGTAGCAGGGGACTTTATTGCACAGATAGGTAGTCTAAACTAAACAGAAAGACATTTAAGTGGGTATTTTAGTATTCCGGCTCAGCGAACAGATAATGGTGATCGCCTGTTGCAACTATGCTCATACAATCGTTTATTTTTAGCAAACACAAATTTTAAGCATAAGGAAATACATCGTCTAACATGGCGACCACCTACACCAAACCAACGATGGACTCAAATAGACCATATTGCCATCAGTCATCGTTAGAGAAGTTCGATAGAAGACTGTCGCTCATTCTGGAGTACCTGCTTGGACTCCGACCATGCCCTAATACGGGCACGCATATGCCTGCAACTCACTGGACGCAAAAAAGCCACATTAAAAAGACCCATTAGAACTGAACTGAGTAACGAGAAAACCAAAAGTAGATTCCAGCAACAACTACGGTCATACTTAGGTAGATCTGAAAACGAGGCTGACCCAGATATCGCTTGCAAAGATATACAAACAGCTGTGCAAACGGCAGTGAAATCTATCAGTGATTTAAACCACAGAGTTACAAAAAACCAATGGATTTCTTCAAGGTCTATTGCACTGATGGATTCTCGTAAACTCACCCCATCAGGTTCTGAACATGGTGAAGAGCGTAAACAAATCAGATCTAGGTTAAGAAAAAATCTAAGAAATGACCGTGAGCAGTGGTGGGCAACGAAAGCAAAAGAGATGGAAAAGGCGGCGGCTATAGGGAACACAAGACAGCTCTACAGACTAATAAAAGAAACTGGAACTAATAAGTCAAGTGTAAGTGAGATTATTTCGGAAAAAAACGAGACTCATCTACTCCCAGTTCACACATTTAGAATGATGGGCGGAACACTTTAGGGAACAGTTCAGCTGGCCTTCAGAGACTCTACAACTACCGTCCATTCCCAGACAGTGTGAATGAAGCATTGAAGTAGGTCCCCCAACTCTAGCTGAAGTTCAAAAGGTTATAGTTAATCTGAAACGAGGAAGGGCAGCTGGTCCAGTTGGATTGGCTCTAGAAGTCTTTGAGGATGGTGGTCTAATTTTAGCAATTAGGTTGACTAATATTTTAGCTAAAATCTGGGAGTTGCACGTTATCCCATCTGACTGGTCACAATCACTTATCGTCCCATTACATAAGAGAGAGTTAAAATCATCCTGTGACGACCATAGAGGGATTACTTTAACTTATATATATTCTAAAACACTAGCCTCAATAATTATCGGACGCCTAAATAAGACTCGTGAACTGCAAACACGAGAGAATCAAGCTGGCTTTAGACCTGGTCGTGGCTGCATCGATCACATATTCACCATTCGTCAGGTTCTAGAACATATGCATACTTATCGGCGTCCGACCATGGCGGTCTTTCTTGACTTAAAAGCAGCATTTGACTCGGTAGACCGCGAGATTCTGTGGTAGTGTCTGTCATTGAAAGGCGTACCCCAGAAGTACATAAACCTTGTGAAGGCTCTTTACTCGAACACTACTAGTCCAGTCAGAGCTTATGGCGAACTGTCATCTACTTTTACAACCTCAAGTGGTGTCCGTCAAGGCTGTCCACTTTCTCCATTTTTGTTTTTTACTTCATCACAGACCTATTGATAGAAATAAGATTCTCGTCGACTGAATTTTCGGGTATTGATCTCCTTCCAGAAGGTTCACTTATCGACTTAGAATACGCAGATGATATAGTCCTGTTTGGTGAAGACGCTGATAAAATGCAGTCTTTTGGTAGCACTAAGCAACAATGCCAGAATGTTTGGAATGCGCTTCTCTCCCTCTAAATGCAAACTACTGCTTCAGGACTGATCTGCGTCAACACCTGAACTAAGGATAGGGAGCGAAGTAGTCGAACGCGTTGACAACTTCACTTATCTTGAAAGTCTGGGTTGATGTCTGACGAAATCTCAGCACGGATTCGCAAAACTCGCCTGACTTTTGCTAACTTACGTCACCTATGGCGAAGGCGAGATACCCGTCTATCAATAAAAGGAAGATATACTGCGCGGCAGTCCGTTCTGTTTTAATTTACGGCAGCGAAACATGGCCATTAAGAGTAGAAGATACTCGTTAGCTACTAGTATTTGACCACAGATGCCTTAGAAATATTGCTGGTGTCTGCTGAAATCACCAGGTAAGTAATAGTGAGGTTAGACGCACGGTATTGGGGAATGATGGTAAATCAGTTGATGAGGTTATGAATCTTCATCGACTGAGATGGTTGGGTCACGTGTTACGTATGCCTAAACACCGATTACCACGACGTGCAATGCTGACTATTGTTGGGGATGGTTGGAAGTTAGGGGCGGGCAAACTAAAACGTGGCACCAATGCTTGAAGACACTAACTTCTAGTTTGAGTCATGTTGGTAGATTCACACTACTTGGTTGGGTTCCGCGTGACTATCGTAACCAATGGTTGGAGATTCTTGGTGACATGGCCCAGAATCGATCACAATGGCGTAGGTGTATACACTCCCTGTCTTCCCTTAAACTAAGAGATTAAAGTCACTTCATATCTTTCTTTCTATGAACTAATTCTTTCTCTGTCCATTATATCCTTAGATACAATCTTTCTTTTATATATTACCCCCATTGAATTAACTACTTCTATGAATTCGGTATTCATCTTGCTTTGCTAATGCAGTATGGTAACTTGGACCCATGCATATATATACCTGGACCTGCGTTGTAGCTGACTGACTGAAGTAGTACAGTATTAAACATAGAAAAACACTACCGTTTAAAGACACTAGACAGTTTTATGTAATTTGAGTCATATTTTATTAAGGGAACTTTTTAGATAGGTTCCAATTCAATCACTAGTTATTTTTACAAGTGAACACCATCTGAAACTTAAGCTTATAGGATATTCTGCAATATATATATATATATATATATATATATATATATATATATATATATATATATATATATCGTCTAGTGAAATATCACAATATGACTGTAATTATAGAAAAACAACAGTCGAACTGAAATTAACAGAATACAAAATTAATGCAGATCAGATGTTTGAGATAAAAAGTAGCGAACAAAAATCAAATTAATTTCTCGAACACAAGATTTTTGTACTAATTCATGGTTCATCTGATTGACAAAATACCCTTAGGACTTCACAAAATATATGTATCAATTATCCTTACTGCTTTTAATAAAATCTTTTAAAAAGCCTTAGTTCACAGATCATAACCTTAAAGTTGATGTAACTATTGAATTCATTAATCTCAGAGAAAACGATAGGCTGCTTTCACAGAGGCAGGGCTCATCATCTTAAACGAACTGCTTACCAAAGCAGACCAAAAATCAATAAGTAGTTTTCGTAAGTACCTTCAACTACATTTGTAAATTTACATGCATTTTCCAAAGCACAAGCACTAGGTTTGTATTTACAAATGTCCAAAAAAGCAGGAAGCCAAAAAGTTATATAGCTCTAAACAGTCAATTAACTCAGCACTGAATCGAAAATGAGTATATCATCGATGTGTTTCAATTTTTCGACAATCATTCATTATGATAAAAATTAGAATCAGGCTTTATAAAATCTAAGCTGTAATCATGGTTTAACTAAGAGAATAATTCTCTCGTGTATGATGAAAACCTATGGTTTAGTAAGAAAAATGACTAAGCAACGACTCCCACGTATCACTGACTAACAAGCTTACCAGGTTATTAAAGAGTTCAGTGGTAATAAACAAGACTTTGATTTGAAGCGATGCAGATTAATATTCATAAAGACATTACTTCCCTAGATCCTGAAGACACTTCCAACTATGAAACATCAAACAGGACGAAACCCAGCTTGGAGGTTTACTTACAGATTCAATAAGAAACACGTATTTGCAGTTAGTAAAACAAATATGTTTGTAAAGCACTAACACAAATAAGTCTCGGCATTTGCTTGTGAAATCACAAACATGCTTAATGTCCAATGGCATTTTATAAACTAGACGTCGACTGGTGACTTGGAACAGTTGGATCTAGAACCACAATGTAAAAACCTGTCTTCACTGTCTGAACTATAACAAATACAAAATGAATTAAATACATAAATCAATTTGTATCTAACGAGTAAAACGTCAAAGATATTCAGAGTGAATGGATTTTTATAGCTATAAGTTACTTCGATTCCGACCCGAGACTATAATCAGATCCCTAGTTCAGTGGTTTAACGACAGAGTGAATAACGCCGATATATACTGGGAATGGCCCCACATAAAGTAGTGGTCAGCATATGAGGTAGCCATGTCAAACTTAGAATCAACCCATAGGATGACTGACTTGTTATGAACAGTGTGAGCGTAAACTTCTTAATTGGGCTTTGTACCAAAATTATGACCACTAGCTGAAAATATCAGAAAATAGGAGCTGAAATCATTTGTAGTGGCTCAGGTCCATTTTTCCACTACATTGTGAGTAAAACGTTTTTACATTTTATACCTCGTATTTCTGCATCTCACTTGTTCTTTTAAGCTTTTCTCTATATTTAGTTTTTACTACTGCTTTCCCCTCTCTGCTCTCATATGGAACTTAGTAACTTGAACCTAAGCACACTTGTGCAAGGTTTTTTTATCTAATACTACTGACCGAGTATGAAAAAAGGGATCAAATTTTAAAAAGTCAGTACATAAACATCGGTTTAAGCAATTGCATCTCGAAGTCATACGCATTCAAAGAAGAGCACGTGGACGGGAGTACTTGGTTAGTGAGTTGGATTTAGATGAAATCCATGGTTCTTCATATACTTTACACCATATTTTACTGACGATACTGATTTTAACGCACACACACACTGAAAGTGCAGAAAATTATTTGCGAAATACCTAGCTAAATACCCAAGGTGACAGTGGAAGAAGTAGTCTTTACTTGCATAATGATAACACAAGTGAACAAGAATATGAATATTTAATTTTTCAGTAAATTAGGACAGCATTTCATCATTAAAGTGAGGGAATATTCACTGACATTAAAGTTATTTTTCTGGAACATTTACTCGACTGGATAGAAAATCTGTGTCTGACAATTTAGACATTATTTCTTCACATCCAGCTTTTAAGTACTTGCAAAGTCGACAGACAGGTAAACCAACAACATTGAAATAATCTCCATCGATTCGCTCAATTAAACTTGAACCTAACCCCTGAATACCATAAGCTCCAGCTTTATCCCTGAAATAGGATGAGGATTGTAATACTTAATGCAATGAAAAAACTCAAGTAATTATCTGAAGAATTGAAACAAATAAGTAGATCTACTAAAGTTTTCAGCAGCTGATATGAAGCAAAACTTAAGGGGGGGGATTGAAAATGAATCCAACTGAGACATCATCCAGGAACAGTTACTAGCTTCAGCTATAGCTGTAGTGAGTATACTCCCTACTGTTTTGTCAGGAAATTTCTATCTTCTAACATGACACAGACCAAAAGTTAATGACTTCATGTGATAGGAGTAGGTTGTGAGCGACCTAATGGTGACTTTCTTTTAACTGGTTAGTGATGTATGCCAGAGTTAGAGGTGACTAAGGATGAGTAAAACGTGTTTCAAATACCTACACTGGTGACATTTTATAGCCTTATTAGTCGATTTCCACCTCTCACCTAGCATATTATTGATTAGTAATTTCACTAGATTCAAACTACAATTAGAAAATACCTATATGGTCAAGTGCTTGCAGTGTGCTCGTTATACTTCCACTGATCATTTTTTACAATATATTGTTAGTTTCCAAATAGTTGATTGGGAATAAGTTATATAGCATAGGCTAGCACAATGAGACATGAACCTAGTCATGCTATTTCTTTGTGAAAATTATGCATCCTACTGTCTATTGATGTGAAATAGATAATACCTATTTAGCAGTTAAGTAACCTATCTCAAACCATTAGAGAAAATAGGCAACAGTTATCACTACCCAGAAAACCCAAAAAGGGGAAATAATGGGGAAAAAAGGGGTAAATGCTTTGGTGGCGAAAGGGAAAATAAAGGAAAAAACGCGCCAGAATGTCGCCTGTCCGGGGGAAATAATGCGGAATTTCCCCTTTCTGTCGACAAATTACCCACTTATCGCCTAAATATCCGCTGAATTATCGCATTTTTGCCTAAATATCCGCCGAATTGTCGCATTTTCGCCTAAATATTCGCTGATTTGTCGCATATCAGCCTAAATACACACATTACACCCTATTTTCTATCCATCGACAGAAGACCAAAGGTCTCCTGCATTCGCCTTTATTTTCAACAACAGACAAAAATATTTCTGCAATGCAGTTTAAAAGCGGTAAATTTTTTAAAAATTGTATTTAAAAAGAAAAGCCTATTATTGTACAACAGTAGAGCACAAGCTTAAGCATCCATTGTTATGCTTATCCAATGCAATTGCTAATTCATTTTTATAGAAAATTATCTGAAAAAGAAGGAACAGGTTATGTTTTATTCATAAGCAATGTCCATTAAATCAAAAGTTCACTGAAACTCAAACACATTCTCAACAGTTTCCCAAGTAAGTAAAAAAGTAAGCTGTTTGAAAGAACAATGTTTATTGACATCGAGGTAGAACACCAAAACAATTGCACGGACTATTCGGAATTGAGGTAGTCGTCCTGTGAATTCTGAATTAAAAAAAAGGTCACAACCATATCTCAATGATATGCTTTGGCACACCCAAATACTTGAAGCTGAACTTACGGTCATGTTCGTTAATATTGTTGACTGTAACTATAGAGCCGTAGGGAGGTTATCACTTTAAATCAGTACATACCTGGTTATCTTTTCTCCTAGAACGTTTTATCATCTTGTCTCGGATGTCGTGAGAGTAACCTTGGGTCGCGATGTCGTAGAGCTTACCAAGGTCTTTTTCGTTGACAGAGGATGACAAAAAGCGATGAGTCAAAGCACCTGAAGTTTAAGTAATAGATAAAGGTTACTTCGTATGCAGCCGTAAAACGTGCATTTCTTCAGTGCTCGTTTTGAAGAGGTGCCAAGTAACGTGAATTTACTGGCAACCTCAGGTGTCAACAGATACGACAGAACAAACCGCATGGACGCTTTTGGGTCGTCACTTGATAACCTAGTGACCATTGCCATCTGTAATCGTCACAAATAATTAAATTTATGTTAATGACTTACAAATCTGTCCCTGGTTTCTTTCTGCGACAAACCGGTATCAAGCATCTGCAGTCCCTCTTCAGATGACAAAGGAAACTGCTGACTGGACAGTCCGCAATCGAATTGATGCGGTTTTTCGCGTTCATGAAACTTCGATAGCAGTTGGTTTACATTAACATTCAAGTCAATAATGGCGGACGACATGTTGTTAATCGTTTTTGTCAGTTCACTGATAGCTGACGACATGTTCAGCACCAGTGTATACAACCTTTCACTGCTGAAAAAGATCACTACATGATGCAGGTAACTTACTTGTCCACTATAGCGCCGCCAACATGCTTACATTCCGATGTCGAAGGTGATGTCTCTAATTGTGTCGAACTAATTCGTGAATATCTAAATACTAATTAAACGTACTTGGCGATATGAATTTTTCGAAAACACGGAATTTGGGATATTGTACGGGGACATTCCTAGACTGCATCTCAGCCACATCCATGTCGACTGAATTGTAAAGAAAATCTTCTTTACGCTTCATTACACCTCTAGGAAATGTTAGTAAGATTATTGTACAGACCTTTTTGGCTTCTCAGTGTTGAGTGGCAAAGTGTTTTCATCCGTTGAGGTGTTTTTCCGTTGAGACTCAAAGTATCTGTAGGGCAACTAACAGATCTTTTGCCGACTGGAGAGAATCTATAGTGAATTATCCATCCTGTGTATGTAACGTACCTAATTCGTGAATCACTTTACATTTCATAAATGACCAATTTTCATTCGGTTGGTCGCTCTTCTGAAGGTGTATATCTACATGCTCGTTCGGAAAAGCGCACAGTTCCTTTCTTACTATCCACTCTTTGTGTGCTACCATCAGTTGTTTTTTGCTCAGGACGTCAACAATAACGTACTTCCTGTTAGCGGGCTGAAAATAAAATAAGTAAATTATTTGTCATTTATTCAACACTAGTGAAACAAAATGCATTTACAGCCAAGTATGCAGCAATGGGATAAGAACTAGATAATTCATACAATTTATGGCCATACATTTACAATCTATGTCGTTGACCGAGATCCAGGTGTGTTCATGGCTAACTACGGAGCACCTAAAAATTCCAATATCAGTAGATGGAAATGGATCTTCAAAGTAATTGCGTGGGTCAGTTAAAGTCCTAAATTTTAGTAGTCCATCCTCCTTTATATCAGTGATTAAACCTGGCTGGCCGTTCACTACTACTACATTATCAGGCTGACATGAAGTGATTTTACTACTGTTAAACATAATTACTTGTTTTGTAGAGACATCAGTAGCGCCTATTGGGGTAAGCTAAGTGTTCACACCCATAACACCATTCATATTCATTCATGAAGTTTAGTAATTCCATTCTGGCGGTTTCTACAACACTTTTATGTACTTTGGGATGTGCAAGCAGATACATGGATAACGCTAAACGCCGGAAATTAAGATAATAAGGTTGTGGCAGAATGGAATTACTAAACTTCATGAATGAATATGAATGGTGTTATGGGTGTGAACACTTAGCTTACCCCAATAGGCGCTACTGATGTCTCTACAAAACAAGTAATTATGTTTAACAGTAGTAAAATCACTTCATGTCAGCCTGATAATGTAGTAGTAGTGAACGGCCAGCCAGGTTTAATCACTGATATAAAGGAGGATGGACTACTAAAATTTAGGACTTTAACTGACCCACGCAATTACTTTGAAGATCCATTTCCATCTACTGATATTGGAATTTTTAGGTGCTCCGTAGTTAGCCATGAACACACCTGGATCTCGGTCAACGACATAGATTGTAAATGTATGGCCATAAATTGTATGAATTATCTAGTTCTTATCCCATTGCTGCATACTTGGCTGTAAATGCATTTTGTTTCACTAGTGTTGAATAAATGACAAATAATTTACTTATTTTATTTTCAGCCCGCTAACAGGAAGTACGTTATTGTTGACGTCCTGAGCAAAAAACAACTGATGGTAGCACACAAAGAGTGGATAGTAAGAAAGGAACTGTGCGCTTTTCCGAACGAGCATGTAGATATACACCTTCAGAAGAGCGACCAACCGAATGAAAATTGGTCATTTATGAAATGTAAAGTGATTCACGAATTAGGTACGTTACATACACAGGATGGATAATTCACTATAGATTCTCTCCAGTCGGCAAAAGATCTGTTAGTTGCCCTACAGATACTTTGAGTCTCAACGGAAAAACACCTCAACGGATGAAAACACTTTGCCACTCAACACTGAGAAGCCAAAAAGGTCTGTACAATAATCTTACTAACATTTCCTAGAGGTGTAATGAAGCGTAAAGAAGATTTTCTTTACAATTCAGTCGACATGGATGTGGCTGAGATGCAGTCTAGGAATGTCCCCGTACAATATCCCAAATTCCGTGTTTTCGAAAAATTCATATCGCCAAGTACGTTTAATTAGTATTTAGATATTCACGAATTAGTTCGACACAATTAGAGACATCACCTTCGACATCGGAATGTAAGCATGTTGGCGGCGCTATAGTGGACAAGTAAGTTACCTGCATCATGTAGTGATCTTTTTCAGCAGTGAAAGGTTGTATACACTGGTGCTGAACATGTCGTCAGCTATCAGTGAACTGACAAAAACGATTAACAACATGTCGTCCGCCATTATTGACTTGAATGTTAATGTAAACCAACTGCTATCGAAGTTTCATGAACGCGAAAAACCGCATCAATTCGATTGCGGACTGTCCAGTCAGCAGTTTCCTTTGTCATCTGAAGAGGGACTGCAGATGCTTGATACCGGTTTGTCGCAGAAAGAAACCAGGGACAGATTTGTAAGTCATTAACATAAATTTAATTATTTGTGACGATTACAGATGGCAATGGTCACTAGGTTATCAAGTGACGACCCAAAAGCGTCCATGCGGTTTGTTCTGTCGTATCTGTTGACACCTGAGGTTGCCAGTAAATTCACGTTACTTGGCACCTCTTCAAAACGAGCACTGAAGAAATGCACGTTTTACGGCTGCATACGAAGTAACCTTTATCTATTACTTAAACTTCAGGTGCTTTGACTCATCGCTTTTTGTCATCCTCTGTCAACGAAAAAGACCTTGGTAAGCTCTACGACATCGCGACCCAAGGTTACTCTCACGACATCCGAGACAAGATGATAAAACGTTCTAGGAGAAAAGATAACCAGGTATGTACTGATTTAAAGTGATAACCTCCCTACGGCTCTATAGTTACAGTCAACAATATTAACGAACATGACCGTAAGTTCAGCTTCAAGTATTTGGGTGTGCCAAAGCATATCATTGAGATATGGTTGTGACCTTTTTTTTAATTCAGAATTCACAGGACGACTACCTCAATTCCGAATAGTCCGTGCAATTGTTTTGGTGTTCTACCTCGATGTCAATAAACATTGTTCTTTCAAACAGCTTACTTTTTTACTTACTTGGGAAACTGTTGAGAATGTGTTTGAGTTTCAGTGAACTTTTGATTTAATGGACATTGCTTATGAATAAAACATAACCTGTTCCTTCTTTTTCAGATAATTTTCTATAAAAATGAATTAGCAATTGCATTGGATAAGCATAACAATGGATGCTTAAGCTTGTGCTCTACTGTTGTACAATAATAGGCTTTTCTTTTTAAATACAATTTTTAAAAAATTTACCGCTTTTAAACTGCATTGCAGAAATATTTTTGTCTGTTGTTGAAAATAAAGGCGAATGCAGGAGACCTTTGGTCTTCTGTCGATGGATAGAAAATAGGGTGTAATGTGTGTATTTAGGCGGATATGCGACAAATCAGCGAATATTTAGGCGAAAATGCGACAATTCGGCGGATATTTAGGCGAAAAAGCGACAATTCTGCGGATATTTAGGCGAAAAAGCGACAATTCAGCGTATATTTAGGCGATAAGTGGGTAATTTGTCGACAAAAAGGGGAAATTCCGCATTATTTCCCCCGGACAGGCGACATTCTGGCGCGTTTTCTCCTTTATTTCCCCTTTCGCCACCAAAGCATTTACCCCTTTATTTCCCCTTTTTGGGTTGTCTGGGTTATTTCCCCTTTTTGTGTTGCTTGGGTTATCTACGTTCCTGTGAGATAAAAATGATGGTAGTAAAACCATAATTACTCCGCCTGGAGACATACATTGGCTCTCGAGACTGAACATATCCTTCAATAATAAGAGGACTTAATTCAATCATCTTTACATTTGTTACTTCATGAAATTGATCAATTTTCTGTTCTTTCCCAGATACAATCCACTTTAAACATACACCGGTAATCACTTGGTGAACATTCCCACTCAAACTACAAATGTTATAGATTAAGTGTGTCACAAACCGACTGAGTGTATTTACAGCATCCACGTGACTTGATGGTTTTCCAAAAATACAACCTTCAAAACATATCATAGTATCTGCTCCTATGACTACATAGTTACGCTTTCATTAATACGAACATAAAAAAGTAAACAAACTTTACTGATATCCAAGGTATTCACCACTGCATCCACTTTAAGTTTAGCTATGGCTTCGATATGAGCTGGTATTGATTGAAAGTTTTCTGAAGGCAGTGACTCTTCAACATCAGGACAAACAGAGGAGAACTGTAGACCCTAAATATAATTATTAATCAGTCAGATAAATGAATTACAATGTTCCCAAGTATTTCTTTTCGACGTGTTGAAGTGCTAGCTAGTATAATTTCTAGGGATTTCAAATCTTCTTCAAGGGAGCAAAGCATGGCTAACAAAAACAATATTGAATATCTCTCACTTTACATGGTGATATTTCAACATGACAAGAAAATCAATTCAAAACTATACTATTTTTAAACTGACATTGGACTCTACAAGGATAACACTGCAAAGCCTTGGAGAACACGAATTAAGTCTTTAACTTACTTACTTACTTACGCATGTTACTCCTCGTGAAGGAGCATAGGCCGCTCACCAGCATTCTCCATCCAACCCTGTCCTGGGCAATCCTTTCCAGCTCCTTCCAGTCCATATTCATCCTTTTCATATCTGCTTCTATTATCCGACGCAATGTGTTCTTTGGCCTTCCACTTTTTCGCTTCCCTTCAGGATTCCAAGTTAGGGCTTGGCTCGTGATGCAGTTTGACGATTTGCGTAATGTATGTCCTATCCATTCCATCATCTTTTCCTAATTTCTTCTTCAGCTGGAAGTTGGTTTGTTCTCTCCCACAGAAGGCTATTGCTGATGGTATCCGGCCAATTGATGTTGAGTATCTTGCGTAGACAGTTATTTATAAATACTTGTACTTTCTTGATAGTGGTTGTTGTAGTTCTCCAAGTTTCAGCTCCATACAGTAGAACTGCCTTGACGTTGGTATTGAAGATTCTCACTTTGATATTGGTTGAAAGTTGTTTTGAGTTCCATATGTTCTTCAATTGTAGGAATGCGACCCTTGCTTTGCCAATCCTTGCCTTTACGTCTGAATCTGAGCCTCCTTGTTCATCGATGATGCTTCCCAGGTATGTGAAGGATTCTACATTTTCCAGAGTTTCGCCATCAAGAGTGATTGGATTTTTGTTTTCCGCTTTGAATTTGAGGACATCGGTTTTCCCTTTGTGTATGCTGAGGCCTACTGATGCAGAGACTGCTGTCTTCATCTGCATCTGTTCGTGTGTACGTGATAGGAGGGCTAGGTCATCTGCGAAGTCCAAATCGTCTAATTGACTTCGAGCTGTCCATTGTATTCCGTGTTTTCCTTCAGATGTCGAGGTCTTCATAATCCAGTCGATCACCAGAAGAAAGAGGAAGGGAGAGAGTAAACAGCCTTGTCTGACTCTGGTCCTTACTTGGAATGCATCTGTCAGCTGTCCTCCATGCGCGACTTTGCATTGTAGTCCGTCGTATGAGTTCCGGATAATATTGACAATCTTCTCAGGAACTCCGTAGTGTCGAAGAAGTTTTCATAATGTCCTCCTATCCACACTGTCGAATGCTTTTTCATAATCAATGAAGTTGATGTATAGTGATGAGTTCCACTCAACTGATTGTTCAACGATGATCCGTAGTGTTGCAATTTGGTCTGTGCACAACCGATCCTTACGGAATCCAGCTTGTTGATCTCGAAGTTGGGGGTCTACTGCATCTTTCATCCGGTTCAGTAACACTCTGTTGCAGACTTTCCTGGTATTGACAGCAGTGTAATGCCTCTATAGTTTTCACATGTGCTCAGATCTCCTTTCTTTGGAATCTTGACGAGGTGTCCTTCTTTCTAGTCCATCGGCATTTGTTCCTCCTCCCAAATCTTTTTGAATAGAAGGTAAAGCATGTTCATAGTTGCTTCGATGTCTGACTTCAGTGCTTCAGCTGGTATGTTGTCCGGACCCGCTGCTTTCCCGTTCTTGATTTGTCTGAAGGCCATTCTGATTTCTTCCTTCGTTGGTGGGTTGACGTCTATGGGAAGATCTGTGTGTGCCGCTTCGATGTCCGGTGGATTCATTGGAGCCGGCCTATTTAGGAGTTCCTCGAAGTATTCTACCCATCTGTTCCGCTGTTGTTGAATTTCGGTGATTGGCTTGCCTTCTTTGTCTTTGACCGGTCTCTCTGGTTTACTGTATTTTCCTGCTAGTTTCTTCGTTGTATCGTAAAGCTGTTTCATATTTCCTTCTCTTGCAGCTTTTTCTGCCGTCGTTGCTAGTTCTTCCACATATTTCTTCTTGTCGGCTCTAATGCTCCTCTTCGCTTGTTTGTTTGCTTCTATGTATTCAGCTTGTGCTCGGACTTTCTCTGCTCGTGTTCGACTGTTGTTTATTGCTGCCTTCTTGTTCTTCCTTTCTTTGATCTTGTCCAGTGTTTCTGTAGAGATCCATTCCTTATGATGGTATCTCTTTAGACCCAGAACCTCTTGACACGTTGAAGTCAATGCTTCCTTGATGCCTTTCCAATTGTCCTCCATATTAGTTTCTTCTTCTTTCAGTAGATCTTGTAAGGCTTAGAACCTGTTGTTGAGAGCTATCTTGAATTCATTGAGTTTGTCAGTATCTCGAAGGAAGGCTGTATTGAACCTTTGTAGTGCTGTTTGTCCACTTGTCCAGTTCTTTTTTAGCTTCAGTTTTAAATTGGCCACAACTAGGTGGTGATCTGAAGCTACGTCAGCGCCTCTCCTGGTTCTCACATCTTCCATTGTCCTTCGGAATTTTTTGTTGATGCAAATATGATCTATTTGGTTCTCTGTAGTGTGGTCCGGTGAGATCCTAGTAGCCTTGTGTATACGCTTGTGTGGAAATATTGTGCCCCCTATGACCAATTTGTTGAATGCACATAGATTCGCAAATCTTTCTGCATTTTCGTTTCTCTGTCTCAGTCCATGTCGTCCCATAATATCTTCAGATCCGGTGTTGTCTATTCCGACTTTAGCATTTAGATCTCCCATCAGAATAGTTAGGTCCTTTCTTGGGCATTTCTCAATGACTGACTGCAGCCGCTCGTAGAATTGATCTTTAATGTCGTCGTTGCTATCATTTATGGGTGCACAACATTGGATAATATTCATTAAAATCCCCTCCTTCTTTTTTGAACGATGCCTTGATGATTCTGGATCCGTGAGATTCCCATCCTACAAGTGCATTCCGTGCTACTTTGGACAGCATTAGAGTGACTCCCTGAGCGTGTGGAGCATTGTCCTCTTCGTGGCCGGAGTATAGCAGCATCTCTTCCGTAGCTAGCCTTTTCTGTTCAGCTTGGGTCCAGTGGGTTTCGCTGATTTCCAGTACTGCCAAGTTGTTTCTCCTCATTTCCGTTGCTATTTGACTGGTCTTCCCGGTTTCTCACATTGTTCGAACGTTCCATGTACCTATAAAAATTTTGCTCTGGTTGTTAGAAGGGGCATTGGCCTCGTGGCTTCCGAAGGAACTCGGCTTTCACTATGAAGCGTCATAATTCTTCTAAATGAAGACATTCTAACTCCGAAGGCAGAGTTAATATGGTTTGAATTATTTTTTCTGGTAAGCGTTTTTTTAGCGAGTTAGTTTTCTACGGGATGAGGACGCTAACCCCATGCCCAACCCTCCTCCTTTACCCGGGCATGGGACAGGCAGTAACTCTAGAAGAGCTACAGGCGGAGTTAAGTCTTTAACTAGTGTATCGTATTGTGCAATGAAACCTAACTGTTGTACTAGAACTTCTAAATCGCGTTTTACTGATGTACTTCAAGTTAGTTTAGGTTTTAGAAAGTCACAAAAATAAAGTGGTAGAAGGCGGCTATCTACCTATTCTCTAAACTGAGTATTTACACACCTTATCATAGTACAGCGCTATCCTCCGTCTCAATAGATTACGAGACGAATTATCAAGTTATTTGGTAATAATCATTGTAATGGAGAACCGCAGACCTTTAGCGACCTCATGTCCCATAAATACCACATCTTGAAGTCCAAAAATAACTGAATATTCCCTTTCAGTGTTCTCTAAGCCATAACAAATGTAGTTACTTTCCATTCGCCCATGGTTTGGAGGCAGGGTTTTTATTGAGCAGGTTTTCTCCCGACACTTCTATATTTCGCTTACTCCTTAATACCGAATAAGCATTAACGGAAATCTTTATACACTCCAACTCCCCACTTTCCTCAAGCAGGCTTTCAGTAGCTTGCTTTATCTAGGAGATTCTTTCAACCGAACCATGTCTGTATACACATTATTCTGAAGAGACTTGTGGACACTTGACTACAGTTGCTTTACCCTAACTTAGTGGTTAAGTTTACAAACCTTCATGGTGTAAGTTAAATATGTTGACTGGAAAAAATTTTCCTTTAGGTATTACCATATCAGACCGGTTATTTATAGATCGGTTAAACTAAAGTCAACAATTTTCAGGCTTCAGTTTCAGGCTTGCGTGGTGAGGATAGAAGGCCTACGGCCTATGTTAGTTCTTTCCTAGTATGCTTCTGTGAGTGTCTATTCTTCTCTCGAATAAGTCAATTAAAGGTGCAGATACCACTGCTTTGGATAACAGGTTTCATGAATTGATGACTCGGTGCGAAAATCTGTATGCCACGAGTAGTTTGTCCGTTCTTGGCTTTCCTCCTCGTCTGATATTATCTCTGAGATGTTTCAATCTAGTGGGAAGAAAAAAAGACGATATAGCAGGTCGAAAATCATTTCTAAGTATTCTGTACATCAAAATCAGGTCACCTAATAATCTGTGGTAGGATGGAGTAAAGAAGTTTGGCCTTACAAACCGCTTTTTGCATGGTAAACTCCGGAGTTCTGAAATTGCACGGGTAGCTGCCCTCTTTATGATTTTCTGGATCCACTCCCTTTCGTAACTAGGTTGGAAATCGAATGCTGCGTCCTTGTTCTGTGGTTTGTGTTCGAGAATAGTCTCTTAGGTTGCTTTTATTACAGATTGGGCCAACTGCTTTTCATATTTTCACTGAGCTTCCCTTATTGGAATTATACCGACTCATAGTGTTTCATCGTACTTGCTGTGCCAATACTGATGTCAACGTTCCTAGTAAACGTTGAACATCTCGACTTATCCAGGGATGGACGAGCTTCTTCATGTTCTTTGGGACTGTCCAGAGTGTAAACGGTTCAATTACACAATTGTATAACTGCCAGAAATGTGCCCAATGCCTCTTCTACGGATGAACGAGTAAATTATCCATTTTTCAGCCGAGGCTACAAAGTTGATTGCCTTCATGTCTGCCTTTCATATGTTAGGACGGGCAGGCGCAACTGTTTGACAGGCAATCTCAGCCATGAAGTTGAATAAGATAACTGCATGATCGCTTCTCCCTAGAGGTAGGATGAAATTTATTTGACTGACATAATCACCGTGTGTGAAGATTTGATCCGAGAAAGATGAGGAGTTTTGTAATTCATATCTGGTGGGATCTCTAATACGCTGGAATAAAGCTCGTACGATTGTGGTTTCCAACAATCTTCAATCAAACGATGTTGTTGATGATCATACTTCAAAATCT